TCTTGCATTTAAAAATATCAAGGCCACTGGCTTCCAGAGGGCATGGGACGTGGATAAGAGGATAGCCACCTCTGTTGAGATGGGTTTCAAGCTGCTGTGGTAACCACAAAGAGAGAGAAAGGCCAATGTGGAGTAGGGATCTCATGAAATGAGCAAGATGCTGATGGTGATGGCCGATATATTGGCGGCTTGCACGACCGTTTTTGTCTGGGCTACACCTGTGCACAGTTCCAAAATAGCCATAATTGGTTTACGTTAACGCTAAAAAATATATTGAAATATTAAAATATCAACAGTTTTTATCAATATACAGTATAATTTCACTCGGTTTTGGACGTTTTTAGGGGTTCCTTGAAAAACCAAATCACCGTTCACATTGAAGGCACTATTAAGCCTTGGGACTTGCGTATTGTAGTTGCTGTAGCAACAGTACGCTGAAGGTGGCAGCTTAAAGGCTTCCAAAAAGTTTTAGCGTATTTACCTCAGTAAAGAAACTCGCCCTCTCTACTTATTCGTTTTTGGCAATGATGAACGGGATAAGGTATCTTGAAATCCAATGGCTAAATGTAATGTTGCATCAAACTCCTGTTCCACAGTTTTTATGAGTTAGCGCATCTGCTCTTCCTGATTTAAATAAAGTGGCTCTGCCATTCGTGCTGACACAGAGCGACCTACGACAAAAACGCACTTTTCAAAGCCACTGCAAATATTCTAATATTTGAACGATTTGCACGGAATTGATTATTAATATACAGCATTTTATATTTGACCACATGGAAATCTTCATATTTCGCGAAAGCAAAGGAGCTTATTAGCCAAAATGTATGAGGTACGTTACCGGACGCCTATCGAAAAAGCATAATATATGTATAGTGTCATAGTAAAGTATACAAGAGGGTGCTGTTTCATACACTAGACATCTGCCAACCGAGGAGAAATTACATTAAATGACAGTTCTATGCGACGAATTCGCACATGACCCTTCAATCGTCTAGGAAAACGCATTTACCACTTCGAACGTCATATCTGCTCCCAATGTAACCATCACCAACGCTGTGCTAAGCTCCTATTCTGCAAGAAGCCTCTGTACAGGTTTGAAGTCGTTGAGATTTGGGGCGTCACAACTTTGTAGAGCAGATGCTGCCAAGTTCATGTAAAAACATACTTTTTTGTGTAGAAGACATAAAGTGAATTAGCTAGCTTACGGACCCTTCAGTTTCAATAACTTTCCTTTTATTGACACATTTATGGCTCCTGCCAAATGGGCCTGACAGAAGTGACGCAGGTATAAAGCATCCCCAGTAAGAAGACATTTGATGAAAGGGTAAGACTCGAAAGGCATGAAAGAGGTGAGAAGGTCCCACTGAGCCCTATCTTATATTTCATGTCTGAGAAGAAGAAGATTCTACATGTGGGACAATACATTTATTCACCTGAAGTTTCGACATAAATCGCAGATTCTTTATCAGAGGCAATAGCAGAGAGCAGTAGCAAAAACATATATCATATGGTAATGCAGTTGCAGTTTTATAAAA